TTTTTCATTACCAAAACAACATATATATATAATATATATATATATATATATATATATATATATATATATATATATATATATATATATATATATATATATATATATATATATATATATAATAATAATAATAATAATAATATATATATATATTATAATAATATATATATATATTATAATAATAATAATATATATATATATAATATATATATATATATATATATATATATATATATATATATATATTATAATAACATATATATATATATATATATATATATATATATATATATATTATAATAATATATATATATATATATATATTATAATAATATATATATTATTATAATATATATATATATATATATATATATATTATTATAATATATATATATATATATATATATATATATATATATATATATATATATATATATATATATATATATATATTATTATAATATATATATATTGTTTAATGATGTAGATTTTATGCCGTAGACAAAAGATGTCTACGGCATAAAATCTAAAGCATAAAAATGCTTACATAATATATAACAAAACATTGCTTATAAGTACTTCGTATACAGTGAGCAGAAACACTCTTAATGCTAGTACACTCCAACTTTTTTTTCACACTTCTACACCTCAAACATTCTTTAAAACTATATCAAAAAATACCTTCAATACATAACTAGAGTTTGAAAATAATATTTAACTTTCAAAATAAGATTTAACTATTACAAAAAATACAAGAATCAAAATATAAATTGTAAAACATTTATAAATAAGTTTTAATTTAATTTTTAAACATTCCTTAATTGTTACTCTAACACTGAAACAATATTCTGCATTTTATTATGTATAAAATGTGTGTTCTGTCTAAAGGATAAAATTAAATCATAATAAATTATACTTGTTCTAATTCTAATTAAATCAGTGTTTTTAAAAATTGATTTGACATTTTTGGCTTAATCAATTTTTTTAATGATTAGTGTTATTTGATGATACCTTCATCAGTTCCTTTTGAAAGATTGTTTGAATGTCATCTTCTTATACAAGTAAATCCAGATGAGAACTTTTTTATTTTTATTTTTTTAATAGTAACCTATTTCATTTTGTATATGACCATTAGGGACGCCATACCAAAAAAGTTTTAAAAATTACATTTAAGAAGTGATTTTATTATGGGTTGGGGTAAGTTAAGCAAAATTAACTTGAAAAATGTAAAAATTGTGAAAACTAACAAAACTTTACTATGTCTTCTAAATTTTTAATTATCCAATTTTTAATAAGTCCATTTGTAATTGTAATCTATGAATTATAGAACACAGCTACTTTGTACTTGCTATTTGCTTTGTGCTAATAGTGAATTTCATTGTGTATATTTCAATATAAAAAAGTTGCAGTATTTGTTGTATTTTACTTGTGGTTTTTTATTATAATTGTTTTTGTTTTACAGTAAAAAATAAATAAAATAGAATATTATGTTATGGAGAGTTTAAAATTGAAACAAACTAGACATTCTTCTTAAACTAATTTAACTAAATATCTTTCGTTCCTACACTGAGAGATGTACTAAGGAAAAGTCTACATATTCAGAAAAGTTTGCTTCTTTCCAATGATCTTGATAGGTGAGTCTTTTGAAACAATATTGAAAAGTGAACTTCTAATAGATTTTTATGCAATAAGCAAAGATTTTTATGCAATAAGCAGATTTTTATGCAATAAGCAGTTGTGACTTTGCATAAATCATGAAATTCTTATATTGAATGCATATTGATTCTTATGTTGTATGTTAGTGGGCACAAAATGCCCAATAACATTCATAGAACATCCATTAAATGTCTGGACACCTGCTGAGCGCCTTTGGACGTTCAAAAGACGTCCAAGTATTAAACAGTACAAGTATTTTAAAAACAGCAATGTTAAAACAGTTTAAATTTTATGTTTTTTGTAGGAGATGTCAAATACCTGTAAAAGAAATCTCAGTGGTATTGGCAGACTTGGTATTTAAACAATGGTCTCAATCCAATGCTTTGTTTAAGACCCCTGTTATCATATCTCAAAAAACGCTGCCAGATAAAACTTAAACTGCCTGGTATAAGTTTAGAGACATTTCTAATCAAAAGGAAACAAAAGGAAAAAATTGTCAAATTGTGGGAAGGTAAGCTGGCCAAATTGTTAGATATAACAAAATCTAGGTGTAACATTACACATGAAATCTGTACATTGACATGTACAGATGAAAATTCTCCCTGTAAAGAGGTTAAAAATTGTTCTGCAGGAGTTCACATTTTATGCATTTGTTCTAAAGCTGCTAAGGTGCTTGATTTATTTTGGCTCAGATCTCAAAGAGATAAAAGTATATTTGTAGATTGAAGAAAAGATCCTACACTAACTTAGAATGAAAATTCAACTACTAAAACGTTTTGTCGAAGAACAGAAAAGCAAGAAAACAAAAGCGTTACTTCTGAACCAGATGGAAGCTATTTGACTCATTACACACCTTCAAAGGGTCCAAACAAACTAGCTTAAGAAGCTGCAATTGGTCTTTATAACTGGATGGTTTCATAGAGGAATTGATCAAACTATAGTTGTGATTGGATCAGATTCTACAAATTCAATGACTGGATTTGGTAATAATGGCAGATTATTAACTCACCTGGAGAAACTTATAAGAAGAAAATGTTTTTGGTCAATTTGCATGTTACATACCAATGAGCTATCTTTAAGACACCTTATTGCAAATCTTGATGGACCTACAAAAACAAGGATGGATTTAAAGAGCCTATAGGCATACTATTATCAAAAGTAAATTAAAATGACTAGAAAAGTTTGAACTGATTAGACAGATTGAACCTTTGATAAAAATTCTGGATGACATTTTAAAGATGTCAACCAAAGCTTCACAAAGCTACAAGTTAATTTCTCTTCTTGCAAGCTCATCAAATAAAAATAGAGCTTTTGCAGTCTATTTAGATGATTACTAAATTTAGAGGAGATGCAGAGCAAGGTGATGTAAGTGTAAGAATCTGAAACAAACCTACATTTAACTTTGATGCTATGACTCTCCATGAACTCATTGACCGGAGTAATGAACAAATCTTGGAGCCAAATTTTAAATGTATTATGACAAAAAAAGATTTATAAAAAGCAATAGATTTTCCTATGGAAGTACCTTATTATCTTCTCCACGCCCAGTTTTGTGAAAGAATTGTTAAGTGACTGAAGCAGCAGCTGCTGTTTATGGTTTTCAGAGACGTGATAGTTTTATTAGAGCAAGAATAGAGTACAGAGATGTTGTTCCAAATCTGAAATCCAAGAAAGATTTAATTAAACTGTTTAGTTAATGTTCAAGCTTGATTTTAGTGAAAATTTTATTTTCCATAAAAAAATTTTATTTTCCATAAAAAAATTTTTTAAAAACATTTTATGTAATTGTAAATGAACTAAAACGCATGAGGAAATTATTTTGGTGTTTTTATTTCCAGACTTTAATTGGTGCTATTTTTTGCAAGACATTCTCATATGACATAAGCATAAACATAAACTTAAGTTTAGAGTTGCAAATGGCTGAAGATGTCATGTAAAACATTTGAAAAAAATTTTGTGGGTGTTCATGGACAAATCTAATTTAAAATTCAAATTTTTATCTAATTTGTTTGGTTTTTAAGTATTGTAAAAAGTATTTTTTTAAATCAATAATATGTAATAAAGATTTATTTTTTATCTTACAACTTTTTTTAAATTTTATCCATTGTTTTCATTTTAACGCTATTTATTTAAATATTGCAATTTTCAAGTTCATTTTTATCCAAACAAAAAAAAAAAAAATTATTTCAATGTTGCTTAGAAATACCACATAATAAAATCCCATGTTTTTTTTTTAATTCAAATTTTTTTAAAAGTATGACATACCCTAATGACCATGATAAAAAAGCCTTTATCAAAGTATTAACCAATATAAATGATTTTGCTGGTCATACTCTTTTTATGGCTAAACATACTGGTGCTGTACCACAGGTTAGTTTGGCTTACCCAAGTGGCAAGATTACACTTGAGGAAAAAAGTGGTGGAAAAAAGGTGAAGGTAGAAAACCTTACCAAATTAAAAGAATTTATTTCTGAAGAATTTAATGAGTTTTATAACAAGCTCTACTCCTGACCAACTATTAAATGTAAAGGTCTCTCAGATAGTGACTTGTAGTAAAAAAAACTTACACTTAATGCTTACTCATATCCATTTTAGTCATTACCTTATATTTATGTATTTTATTGATTTCTTACATGTTAAAACATGTTAAAGTTTTAAAGTTGTGGTTCCATAAGAGTTTTAATTTATTTTTCTTTTGAAAAATTTTAATTTATTTTAAAAAGGCAAATTTTTTTAAATTAAAAACATTTTTTAACTAACAAAAAATTATAAATTATCAAAGTACACTAAGATGTTAATCTTCCATGCATATTTTAGAAATATATTACACAAGTCCTGTATATTTATTAGAAAAAGATATAAAGAGTTTACTTTAGTTAAAATAAACTCTTTATATCTCAAAAATGGTTTTAAAAAACACTGGTTCTATTTACATCGGTAAGCATTTTATATGAGCTTAACATCAATGTAAACAAAGAAAAGATAGATTAACTTGCTGGCTAATACTAGGGATACTTAGTATGCATCAGATCTTCTAATGTTAAGCTTTACATAAACAACTGTTTTATAAAGCTATTTTTAAACTGGAAAGTGTTAAAAATTGAACAAAATTATTGGAAAAAAAAATCAAGCATAAAACTTACTTTGTCTTTGACTTTGTAGACTTCTAAAAAATACATGTTTTCTACCACACTATCATAAGCTAAGCAATAACTAGGTTTAAATAAAGGTCTTTAGTCCAGCACTGATTATATTATGTTAGCATAGTTCATATTACAAACTATTAGACTAATCTATTAATAAACTAAAAAGATAAGTCTCATACTAATTACTAAAAATAATTACTTATAGTTATTCATCACTTAAAAATAATAATTAATTAATTACTCATAAATTATTTCCTTAATTACATTAATTAAATAAAAAGCAATGAAAAAAGTTTAGCAAAAGTTACAAAACATCTTTGTTACGTTAAAAGGTTACAAACAACTTTTTATAAAAATAAAGTTAAAATAACTGTCATTAAACTTCACTTCCATAAATAATTTAATAAAAAAATAATATTTAACATCACAACTGTGTCTACTAATATTTATTAACAACATCTTTTATAAAAAAAAATTAAATAATAAATAAAATTTTGTGACTACAATATATAAAAATATATGATCACGCAAGTATTATCTGAAATTATTAATTCCTTCAAACAACTTTTATAAAAGTAAAATATTTGCATGTGAAAGTTGTAACTTACACCTGAATGTCTCCAGAACTTAACCATATCTTTTATATCCTTTGTATCTGGGTTCAAAAAGTGAAACTTTTTCCATTGGTTCCAATCAATTTGCAAGGAGCCATTAGCATCCATTCTAATAAAAACAATTCAAATGAAATAAAAAATTCCAAAAAGTTTTAAAACTCATAATTTCATATTTTTTATCAATATATATTTATTAGCTATAAATTTATTTTAATTAAAAATTTAAAAATGAATTATAATAAAATGTAAAAACTTTCTTCAAGTAACAACTAGACTTTTTGAATATTTTCTCATAAAAGCAAATTATGTTTTTATGTAAGCCTAAGAGAAGCTATAAAGACTAAGAGAAACTCTGACTCAAAACCCCTTTGTTTTGGGGTTCTTGATGGAACAAAAACTAGATATAGTGTCTATATACTCATCTGGGGCAGATATTAACAGCATCCAACTACTGTTGGATGCTGTTAAAACCTCCTAGGCAAATACTTTAGTAATGTGAATTTCAGTTTGATAAGCCTAGCACCATTTCTACTTTAAATAAGCTGTTTTAAGGGATACATAGTTTCCTGTCTAAGATGATGAATGCTAAACTTCACGACTTCACTCATGGGTTTTTCCTTGTAAAAGCTATGCATCTCTTTTTGCTATCTCCTAATGATGATACAGCTTTAAACCTCAGTTTTTACCAACTGTTAGTAGGTTTACCTTTAATCCTTGATTTGTGTCTTGTCTGTGACTTTACTTTGTGCTGATTTTTTATTCTCTTTTATTATCACTTCTTACTACTATCTTATAGCTGACTTTAGTAATTTTAGCTTGTTATGATCCTTGGGTTGATGTCTTTTGTCACTCTGCTGAAAACTACATCTCCTAAATAACCTTATAAATTCAGACAGGTATAAAAATTTCTATTACTTCTTGCCAGCAAGTCAAGCATCACTCTATGCTGATTTTCTGTTTCTTAAGCTATGCATAGAAATAACACTTATAAGAGCTTTAATTGTCTTTTGTTTTTTATGACTTTTTAGAATAAATTAGAGTGAAATTAAGGACATTTTAGGACAATCTAAAATCATAAATAAGTTACCAGATTTAATTTTCTTAAATTTAGGTTTGAGAATTATCAATCCTTTAATTTCAATTATTAATAATATATTATTTACTCTTTAATACCCTTAGACTCTTTTTTGTTTATTTAAAGTAAACAAACAATAAACAAAACACAATTTAATCAAAAAACTCTTGAACTTGATAATGACTACTATTACATGTAAAATGTCTGCAAATAAAAACTTATATCTGAAATACTAAAAAAAGTACCTAAATTAAATATTTAGTTTAACTTAGGCATTTTTTTGCATTAGTAAAAAAAATCAAAATTAACAACTACTAACATCAGTAAAACAACTTTTATGAAGTGTAGTATAACTACAATTATAGAATAGATGCAAAAAGTACTTTTTTTTTATTTTCCAAAACTTTTTTTTTGCCTCCTCAGATTCTTAAATTTTTTTTATGTTTTTTTTTTTACTCTTTCAACTTGCATTTAGCTTCCAGGTAAGCTTTGTAGCTTGAGTAAGCTAATTTAACTGATTGCATAAATGACTTTGTTATGGGAATATAGAGTAAAAATCCAAAGAAAAAATCCAATATGGTATCTTTTACAAACCTTAAAGCCACAATTTTATCTGGATCAAGTGAAGTACCATGTAACTAAATAATGTGTTTTTTAATTGAAAATCAATTCTCTAGGGCACTATTTCCATGCAAAAGTGAAGAAACAACTTTGAAAAGGGATGAAATTTTAGGAAACTTAGGTGAACCACTGTCATTCAAAATTGTGTCTCAAAGGAATTGATGAATGAATTGATATCAAAACTACAGGTGTACCAGATACTTTTGCCGGATATACTGGATAATGAACTTTGCTTAAGTTCTATAAATGTTTATGAAGTAAAAACAAGTTTTGCCTTTCTACATTAAATAGTCTTCAAGATTTAAAAAAATAAAATAATAAAAAAACTGGTATAACGCAGGTATATGCGTTAATAATGTATAAAGAAATATCGTTTTTATAGTCAAAATTTTTTTTTTAATTACTATTTTTTATACTTCATCAGCACATATACTATGTCATACAGTTTTTCACAGATTTTTTAAAATAACATATATAGAACTTTTTGAAAAGTTCACTATCCGGCATATCCGGCAAAAATATCCAGTACACCTCTAATCAAAACTACATAAAACTTTTGAAACTACAGGAAGAGCTGCAAGGCTTTTTTTCCAGTATGAAGTTTGATATCTCCCAATTGAAACTAATTCTTCAGGACATTTTTAATAACATTCTGGGAGCAATTTCAGTTGGTAAATGCACCATTTGTTTCGTACATTATCACAAACCTTTTATTTTGATGAACATGATGAAAAAACTTTACATAAGACTACTTCCAATGATTTACATACTTCTATAGTGAGATTTGATACAGCCCCTAGAGATTCATTACTTTATTACATTACATTATTCATCAAGATCAAGAAGGATTGCATTTTTTTAAAGAACTGATTCACATGGTAATTTCACTTTTAAATAACTTGTAAATGCTAACTTGTAGACTCAAGACAATTTTGTCCAAATTTTATCTCGCCACAATTTTTGAATCTGGGAACATTGTTTCAAACATTTTACCATCTCAATTGGTTGAAGCAAAATAATAGTTATACTCAACGCACTTTAAACTATGAATGACGTCGGCTTTTAAAATTTCTTCCTCAACAGTGTAACTAATCTTTGAAGCTTTTAATTGAAGTATTTTATCTTCATCTTTAATAAATTCTGTTTGCCCTTCTCTTTCTTTAAATCTTAATGTGCAATGTTTGCTAATTGCAAGGCTTCTTACTTGTTGAGCTCCACTTCCACTGACAGAAAAGATTTTTTGGCATAATTTGCAACTTGCAGAATACTGATCACCAGGACAAACTTGTATCCAGTTAAGCTCAGACTCCCACAGTTTATTAAATTTTGTTTTTCTCTTATAAATATAAATAAAAAATTGACCTATAATTTAACAAAGTAATCTAAAAACTTTTTACAACTTTTTCTATTTTATAGACTGATCTAAAAACAATAATAAAATTGACAATTAGATAATTATATATTCAATAGATAGAGAGGATAGATAAAAACAGATAACACTCTAATACACGCATTTCTATGTACACACATAAATAACATTACTATAAATCTATTATTGTACAAAATTAACACTTATTTAAAAAACTCTTTGAAAATTTTAGGACAATTTAGAACCTAACCCTATAAATTATGAAATTTTATCACAAAATAGTAAAATTTTGAAAATTTTGGACCTTTATGGATTTTGGTACAGACTGGGAGGCCTGTAATTAAACTTTCTTTGACTCAAACTCTAACTATTGTATTATATTTTTATTAGAAATTATTATAGTTGTCGTTTAAACTCTATTTTAACTCAATTAAAAAGAAAACGGAGTTAAAATAGTGAAAGGTGTTGTTATAGCAAGTAAGAAATAATATACTTATTTTCATAATGTTAAGTAATACAATATAACATAATACTTTATATTATATAAATGTTTTAAAAACAATTGTTAAATATGAATATAATGAAATTGTAGCATCATCAAAATGTGGTAACAACAAACTGAAGGTGGCTTTTTGTGCCATTGTGTACCAAGAATCAATTATGAAATTTAAATCAATATTAAAACAGTTATCGCTTTTTTTTTATCTAATAAAAAACATATATTTAAGTTTTCTTACTTGTTAAAGAGAACATTAACTTGTTTGCTTTCAACGTTAACACCTAATTTACGTAGAGCATTTTCTAACTCATCTCGTGAAACAGTACCTAAATAAAAAAATAGATGATATAACATTACTTCTAAATAAATACTATTAAAACATTAATATAGATAATGGGTGTAATTTGTATCAAAATAGATTTAAAAACTATACATTATTTTTGAAATTAAATTATAATATGATATATTATGCTTTGCAATGATTAAACATCCCGGTTAATCTATGTAGAGTGTAGACCAGTTTATGTATGATGCAAAATAAACCATTTAATACTGTATTGTACCTGCCTTAGCACAACATAGCTTACTTTACTATAATCCAAAATAAACAATTGTTAAGATGAATATGTAATTATTTGGAATTATATAGATACAATTATTACCAGAATTATTTGAGTCAATACTTTTAAATATCAACCACAATTTATGTTCGTGTTCTTGATAGTAGTTCAAGAATTCCTCAAGCGACAATTGATTGTCGTTTGAAACATCGCCACTGTCAATTATTTTCTAAAGAGAAATATACACAAATTTTAATATTATTTTGAAATATATTTTGTAAATATACTGTTATATCAATTAAAGATGAAACAATATTTCAATCTTTGATCAAATTCAACATAATATATAAGAGCTCGACAAATTATTTTTACTCCAGTAATGTTGGCGCTTGTCTCTACATATATATTCTCTGAGTTCAATCTCTGCCACAAATCTGATTGGTACAGTGAATAACTTGTTTCTACACCTAGCCCCCTTGTTTATCTTGCCTTGTTTTGGAGTTAACAGGTTGAGAGAGGGTTGTGACTGTATTTTTAAAAAAGCCCCTGCAACCTTGGGAAAGTGATACAGCAAAATTAAAAGCGAAAAAACAGAAAAAAACAACAAGATGGATGCAACAAAATTTTTTTGTACCATATTTTAGGTCACAACTTTCTTTAACTATTATGTAATTGCAAAAATCTGATTGATTTTTTTTTAGTTTATAATAAAATAGCAAGCAATTTATAAATTTGTTTCTTTATTGCTCAAATATTTTATGCAAAGTTACCAAAAGTCCGGAAAACAACACTTTTACTAAACATTACAAAAAAGTTGTTTTGTTTTCAACAAATTTGTTTTCAAATAATTTTATATCCAAGTTACAAAACTATTGACTAAATTACTGCAATAAAAATAATTATATCATTAAACACTTGGTATAAATTCACTTAAATTAAAAATTCTGTGCACTGTGCAGGATACCACAAAATTTATTTACTACTTTAACCTGGTGTTAAAAGAAACTACTTTTTAAATAAAATTCTTGTAAATATAAATTCAGACATTGCAAGAGTTATTTTCTTATAATATATATATTTTTTTGCATATTTCAAACATAAATACTTGTAAAAAATGCTGCGCCTGTCGAGTAATAAAATAAATAATTATATTCAAACCAAACAATAGTGATTCCAGAGCGCAACGAAAAACATTTGATTTTTGACAAAAAAAAACACGTAGTTTTCATGAATTTTACTCTCTTACATCTTTTTTTTATAATAAAGCTAGAACTTTGAAGTTTTTTGCATCAATTAGTTTGACTCAACTTCTTTCCAACCAGAAAGTAAAATGTTTAATAAGGCTTTTATTCTATATTATTAATGTCTTAATAATATAGAATAGAAACCATTCTTGATAAAAAAAACTTGCCGCAGGACACGTTTGAAGGTAAGATTTCCTAAGTACAAAAATACATCAAGTTTGAAAATTTTCATATACATTAAAAAAAGGATAAGGAATTTAATGGAATGGGGAACCTTTTTAACATTTATACATAATTTTTAAGTTCTCAGCATTTAAAAATTTTAAGGTTGGTTTATTTTTAAAAATTTTTTCTAAAAAGGTTCCCTGTGAAAAAAGCAAGTATAGCCTTTCTTCTATTAAAATCAAGTATTTATTTATGCTTTCTTGGAGAAATGGTGCTTAAAAATTTTGTTTAAAAATTATGTATATAATGTTTTTATCCCTTTGCGTATGGTTTGTCTTGATTTTTGATGTTTTTTTGTTATTTGCCATTTCACGCCAAATTTTCCATACTTTTTTGTCAAAAAATTATCAGTTTTTTCAGCACAAAAATGCAATAACTTTGGATCCAATTAACTTCTAAAGTAGAAAGACCCCTCATTTTTTCAGTCTTTTTTTATTTCTATACAACTATTTTTACTATATTGACAAAAAAGGCTAATTTTATTTTGAAAAAAAAAATTCTTTGGAATGGCTACAAACAACAACTCAATTTTTAAAAGTGAAGCTAAATTAGTCAATTTTTTTGTAATAAAGTAATAAATATTTTTAAAAATTAACAATTAATATAAAAAATTACAAGATGTTGCACCTAAAACATCAATAAAAGACCTAAAAATAGTTTTAATTTAAAAAAGAAAATAATAATAATAATAATAATAATAATAATAATAATAATAATAATAATAATAATAATAAGAAGAAGAAGAAGAAGAAGAAGAAGAAGAAGAAGAATAACAACAACATTAAATGTTTTTGTTATTATACTTATTTATTTATAATATCATTAACATTATTATTATTACAATAATTACTGATGTATATATACTTTACATATATTCTTCATAAACAATAGTCTTTTTAGAATAAAATAAATGTATTTGATTCAACATTGTTTAGAAAATATATTGATTAATCATATTCTGCAAAAAAATAAAAAATAATATATATATATATATATATATATATATATATATATATATATATATATATATATATATATATATATATATATATATATATATATATATATATATATATATATATATATATATATATATATATATATATATATATATTCTTAATACCTGAGCATGTTCTGGAACATAAAGGACACCAAGTCTCTTTAATCCCTTAGATAGCTCGTGTATATCAATACGGCCATCACCATTTTCATCAAGTTCGCGGAATAGTTCATAAACTTCATTTTTATCTATGTTATAAATGTCGCTTATTTCCTCCACAAAATTTTCAACAGCCATTTTGTTGTGGATACAAACAGCGTATCAATCGGAATTCGTATTAATCGTTAAATTTTATGAGTTGATTTCCTAAAACTTGGTTTCCGTATGTCCATGGTCCATACATAGACTGTCCGATTAAAGGTCTGTTATTTTCTTTTAAATTTTTTTGCAATTTCTTTGCAAATTTAGTTCTATAAAAAAATTGCTCCAATACAGGAAACTTCCGGTTATTTGAACCTTTGCGGGGAGTAAAAATATACTTCAATCAATCAATTCATATATAAATTGATTGATTGAAGTATATTTTTACTCCCCGCAAAGGTTCAAATATATGCATATATTCTGAAATAAACATTCACGGAAGTTTACAAATAATACATGTACTAATCTAAAGTAAAAACCTTGCAAATAAAAGCTAATAAATATATTGTTAATGCTAATAGTAATATTAATCCTCCACAGCAGTAACAAAACGAGCATTAATAGTTGAAAGAGTTAAAATACTAATAATGATAATAATAAAAGTGGTAGTATTAAAAATAAAAACAATACAATAATAAAATTAAAATGATGATAATAAAAATAAAATGTCAAAAATAAATATAATTACAAAACTCATACACATATACTGACACATACAAATACATACATACAAACACACATACACTCTTACGTTCACAAATACATATAATATAATATTTTATGTTTAAATGTAAAACACGCACATCTCCAATTTCTTTTCACAATTTATATTCTTAGTTAAAAATAAATACATTTTGCGTAATGAAAATTTTATTCTTTAACCAGTTTTCAAAACTAATTTTGGTAAGTTTTGCATTTCATTTAGAGGAGCATTTTTATGGAACAAAGTAATATTAAAACTTTTTGATTTTTCTCAAGAATGGAGCTTTCTCTTATTTAAAAGAAAGTTGAAAAAAATCCTTTTCTCAATTGAAAACATTCTTATATATTTTTAAGTTTGTTTTGTTTTATATTAATACTCTTAAGAAATCTTTTTATCGTAATTTATATATATGAAATCTTTTTTCTTAACTTTTATATATATATATATATATATATATATATATATATATATATATATATATATATATATATATATATATATATATATATATATATATATATATATATATATATATATATATATATGTATATATATATATATATACAGTGGCGGATTATCAAATTATGGGCCTATAGGCTTAACTAATTCATGGGCCCTATATACCTATATTTTTCTAAAAAATACGTCAAAAAGTACAATTTTAATTTTATTTATAATAATAATATCTATAATAAAATCTAATTTTATTTCAAAATTACAAACAAATTATCAGGTATATTAGATACTAGCATATATTTTATAAATGGCTGACCCAAAGAAAAAAACAACACGATCAAAAATTCATTTTTCTGCATTTTCGTTCAACAAAGTCTGATAAAATTTCATTGAAGTCACAGCTTCTTAGGATGTCAGATTCAGTACACATAACAATAAGGGAATTCAGTTTGTCATCACCCAAAGCACTTCGCAGATAGTTTTTTATCCGTTTCAATGCAGAGAATGATCTTTCATCACTGCAGTTGGTGATCATCAAACTGAGGTATATGTGAAGTGCTGTGGCAACATTTGGAAATATATCTTGTAGTGCACTGCTGTTTCTCAAAGCCCGATACATATACAGCTCTATGCTACATTTCAGTTCTTTCTCATTCTGTTGCAAGTACGTATCAGCTAACAAATATTCTTTGAAGTGAAGTATTTCATCTTCAAATGACTCTTCCAAATCATCTACATAAGTATCTATCAAGTTTCTACTGGCTCTTCGCAAATCAGACTGTTCCAGTGATCGAATGTTTCTCAGAAAACCAAACTTATCACATACACCACTGTATGCCTCTGATCGTTTACATAATGCTGAATTCAAGTGATCAAGTACTGGCAAGAAAACCATGACTTGAAATTTCTGCTGTGCCGAAAACACTGTTTCATCAGCTGATCCATCATGACGGGTTAATTGAACACTTCGCTTTCGTTTCCTCTGATTCTCTTCTTTATAAGAAGTTGACCCTGTTATTTCCTTTCCTTTCTTCTCAAAGAAATCAAACTGTGCTCGAAGTAGATTTACATATTCTTTTAGTGAAGTTAACAGTTGAACAGCCTCATTTAGATCAAGTTGTGGAAAGCGATCTAATATGGGTGTCCAGAGTTCTAATAAAATTCCATATTCTAACTGATCCATCTTCTTTGCAATTCCTGCAGCTGTAGTGCGAGCTTCAACCTTCTCCTCAGGGTCCTCAGCAATGTTCTCTAACACTGTCTTAACATTTTTAAAGCCTTTGCTCAATGCTTTAGTTGCTGCAGAAAGTGCTGACCATCGAGTATCAGAAAGGCGTTTTAGTACTAACTGGTTATTATCCAATCCTTTGGTTAGAAGCTCCCACTGTTGGGTTGATGCATTTAAAAAGACATACAAGTTTTGTTCAAAATCAAAAAATCCACTCACTGTTGTCACGCAGTTTACAGCTGATGCACCGACTAAATTAAGGGAGTGTGCAAAACATGGCACATATTCAGCCAATGGGTTCTTCTCTCGAATGCGTGCCTGTAACCCTGAATATTTTCCTGCCATATTGCTAGCATTATCGTAGGACTGACCTCGGCAATATTTTATATCCAACTTTGCTTCTTCCAGAAAGCTGTATAAACTGTTAAACAAATCTTCCGCCCCATGTCCTTTCATGCTTAAAAATTGCACAAACCTTTCTATAGGGCCATCGTTCAAAACATATCGAAAGACACATGACAGCCTATCAACATGACATATGTCTGGAGTAGAGCCAACAGAAATCGAATAAAATTTTGCTCCACGTATTTCAGACAATATTGTTTTCATAACTTGCTTTCCCATGACATCAATTAACTCATCACAAATTGTTGATGACAGGTATGAAACAGAGCCTTTCCCCTTACCACCATGGTTGTCAATATGACTGGAGAGGAATGGATCAAACTGAGCAATCAACTCCAAAATTCCCAAAAAATTGCCATTAGAACTTGACCCCAATATTTCAGTATGTCCTCTAAATGCGAGCCCTCTTTCAGCAAGGAATTTGATAACTGAGACAACTCTTTCTTGCACAGATTTTGCATATGCACATTCCTGTCTGTATTGCTCAACTATTGCTGAATCTACACATCTTCTGACTTGTACTCTTTGGCTGAATGTGATTGTTGCATTTCTATGTGCAATGCTGTTTTCATGTGACTGTATTCGTGAAGCTGCATTTTTCCAATCACAAAAACCATTCCTTGAGAATGAATTATCATCAGCAGAAAATAATTTACATACAAAGCAGTAAATGCGAGATGTTGCTGGTGAATAACACAACCATGACCTTGGGACATTCTCACCATTGCGAGAATGAACACGATAAAAGAGATTCTGTGAGCAGTAGCGCTTCTGTTTTCCATCAATTTGCATTGAACTAGTGAAGTCAGCATTTGAATGTTGACAACATTCACTGCCACGAGTTACCCAAAAGTTACAGAACGTATCATTGATTTCCACTTCAGACCATTGCTCAATGTCAGTGGAAAAGGAATTGTCATCACCTTTGGAACCAGCTTGTGCTTCTGGTTTCTGAGAAAGTGTCTCCGCGTCTACCATATCATCAGATTCAGAGTGAGAGATAGATTGAGTGCATACAGCTGCAACACTGTTATCACGTTCAAATTCATGACCAAATTGACCAGGCAAACCACACTGACCAACACATGGTAAAGGTGAATTCGATGGTGGGTCTTCTCTATTGACATTGACACTAATCGTAGGAAAAAGCTCAGTTATTTTAACAGTTTTTGAGATGACCGCTTCCTCACCTTTCTTTTTATCTTCACGGCCTTTAGCTTTTTGATACCCAGACTTGTGATGATATGCCATTATGACCTGAAATCGAAAAACATACAATGTAGATACTGCATTATTATATATATATATATAATCAAGCAATATTATAAGTTTTATTAATATTGTTTCTGAATATACATACAAAATACTTATGAGTCACGTAGATGTATTTTCTGTTCCATCCACCCACACCCTACCCCCTATGGTCCTATTTCACAGAATTTACTGTACAGTATGTGTCGTATTTTCATGGGTAAATCTTATCTTAAAGAATCTACTGTATGCTTCCTATTTCAGTGTTGCAAAACACCTAATGACATCAGTAGTGTCAATTTGTTCAAGAATACCATTCTCAGCATAACTGGGCTACAAAATTGATTTTTTTGTTTAAAAATAACATTTGGTTCTGATAAAGCAAAATTTTGACTAAGACAGAGTAAAAACAAACATTTGGGCAGCATAACTGGGCTACAAAATTGATTTTTTTGTTTAAAAATAACATTTGGTTCTGATAAAGCAAAATTTTGACTAAGACAGAGTAAAAAACAAACATTTGGGCAGCATAACTGGGCTACAATATTGATTTTTTAGTTTAAAAATAACATTTGGTTCTGATAAAGCAAAATTTTGACTAAGACAAAGTAATCAACAAACATTTGGGCAGCATAACTGGGCTACAAAATTGATTTTTTTGTTTAAAAATAACATTTGGTTCTGATAAAGCAAAATTTTGACTAAGACAGAGTAAAAAACAAACATTTGGGCAGCATAACTGGGCTACAATATTGATTTTTTAGTTTAAAAATAACATTTGGTTCTGATAAAGCAAAATTTTGACTAAGACAAAGTAATCAACAAACATTTGGGCAGCATAACTGGGCTACAAAATTGATTTTTTTGTTTAAAAATAACATTTGGTTCTGATAAAGCAAATTTTTGACTAAGACAAAGTAATCAACAAACATTTGGGCAGCATAACTAGGCTACAAAATTGATTTTTTAGTTTAAAAATAACATTTGGTTCTGATACATTCATTTATCCATGATACATACCTATATCGATATTTGCTGTAAAAAAAATTTGCAATCATCTTCCGAACCGGGCCCCTATGGCTGACGGGCCCCAAGGCTTCAGCCTACTCAGCCTAATGGATAATCCGCCACTGTATATATATATATATATATATATATATATATATATATATATATATATATATATATATATATATATATATATATATATAAGTATATATATGTATGTTTTTATAGAATTAAATGAGTAA